ACTTCCAGGAGGGCCGCAGCCACAGCTTCTCTGGGCAACCTGTGCCAGTGCCTCACCACCATCATTGTAAAATATTCCTTCCTTAGATCTAATCAAAATCCGCCCTCTTTCAGTTTAAAGCCATTGCCCCTTGTCTTATCACTACACACCCTTGTAAAAAGTTTTTACAAGGGTGTGTAGTGTACACACAACATTTATGTAAAAGAACTTATGTAACAATGACTCAACAAAATAAGTGTGTATAAAAACCTCTGGATTTTGATGCCAGGGTGGACACGCTTGGACAGAGCTATCCCCCGTGTCCCCCTGCGCAGGAATAAAGCAGTGCCTGTGTAGATGAATTTCCTTCCCGGCTGCGAGCAGTTTCGGCTGCTAACACCAGGAGCTGTTGGAGGATGTTGGTGCCATTCTGCCAGGCGCTGCGTGGGGAGAGGGACAGAGATGATGCTCTGTCCTGGCGTGGTCTGCACAGCGCCGAGCACCTCCGCAGCCTGTGCACGTCCCCACGGCGAGCGGCAGGATGTCACCACAGGCCCTTACAGGCAGGCTCTGGCACCACGGGCCTTGACTGGCCACCTGACACGGGCAGGAGACCCACTCGATGCCCCGAGAAGGGCAGGCTGGGAAGGCCAGTGTTAGCCAAGCCACAAAAAAGCTGCATTCTGTTATCAGAGTTCTAGTTCTCGAAAGAAATTCAAGCTACAGCTGTTACAGGCACTTTTTCTCCCACTGAAGGAACGAGGCTGGTAGCTGACACCTGTGTCTCTTAAAAAGAGAAGCTAGAATGTTTTTCCACCTTGGTGGTACCTGGACTTGGAGCAAACCGGAGATGACTCTGCTGATACGACTGACGTCTCTATTCTTGTCTCCTCCAGGGCAGGAAAGGTAGAATCTATCATGGAGAAGAGAACTAGCTTGTGTTCCCACCTAAAAAGGTAGCTAACGAGACTCTTCCTAGCAGCAAGAGGATCGGAAAAGAAAAAAGGTTCCACTCTGTATTGCTGCGACATGTTTTACCAGGACCTAAACCAAGTCTTTTCAAGTGCAATGATTTCTCGGCCAAGCACTTCTTTCAGTTTTAACCATTCCTTTCCTAAAATGCAGAAAGAGCAGCACATGGATTCCTGCCACATCTAACAAGATTTATTTTACAAACAAAAGAAGTACAAATAACGGAGTGCTCACTTTGGACTGCCGACTGTGCTCCTAGAGCATTTCATGATTTCCCAGCTCTCAGAGATGTAGGTAGGAACCTCTGAGTACCCACACATCGCCCGAGGCAGCGTTCACAGAGCTCAGCCTTGTTTGCTAGAAACTACCAGTATCTGTGGGACCTCTTAATACAACTTCTACTTCTTTTAGACAATTCTGAAAATGAAAACGATATTTGCTGTACCTGCTAAGGAAAAAAAAAAAAAGAGAACTAAAAGATCACCAGTAAACCTGCCCAAGCACCAAGTGAGGTGTATAAATCACAGCCAGCCTCCAGCAGAGCTCTCATTTTGTAACTGACATTTACTTGCCCAGTGTACAGTTACAGCAGAGTGACAGCAGAGTGCAAGGGCTGCTGGCAGATAAATATAGCTTTTCAAGACTACTTGCTGCCCTTGCAGATGAGGTCGCACACATTTAATGTCTATTTTAAACTCAGACACTTTTTAAGCATCCAGTGGCCAGGGTCATCAATTTTTTCCACATTAACAGACATTTAGAGGAACCAGAAAAATGTAATAGGCTGAATCTTTTTAGTACCTCCCAGTTGGTTTTCATTGTTATTGCAGCTTAAACTTGGTGGACTTCAGTCTCCTTATTTCAGCTTCTCTGGAAATAATTCATTTCTGTTAACAGTCAAGAGCCTAAAACAAAACCCCTTATATAAATAATGTTACTTCCTTATCGCATACGAAAAGTCAGATTTTATTATATATAAAAGCGTATAAAAAGTCAGTAATTATTCGGAACAAATGTAAGATGAGTATTATCAAATGACAAAAAAAGCAAACGAAATTTTTAAAAAGAGGAAAGAACCAAATCCTTTATCAGGTAGCAACATAAAACCACAAACCCCACCCCTTTGTATTTCTCACGTACACACAAGTACAACTGTCAGCTATATCACTGAACTGTACTAATTTTTATTGTGTCTCCACGTTTCTGTGCCAAAGTATTTCATCAGACCGTATGTGATGAATACCCTATTCTGCCAAAGGATTTTACACACTTACACAGTTACTCCATCCCTATGCTATCACTAGACACGCTTCTTAAAAGCCCTCAGCAGAAGTGCGATACCAGAAACAAGTACTTATTTCATTCATTGGCTTTAACCAGTCAGACTCTGAGAAGCATAAATATATGCCAGCTTCTTGATAAGGACAAGACTAGAAAGTGTCTAGAGACTGGAAAAAAAATTAAAATCCTGGTTTAGTCTGAAAGCTACCAAGAAACTGCTGTCTAACTAGAATGTTTAATGTAAGAGGGAATGCACACAGTTATAAAGCCATTCTTCCTGCTCGTTCAGTGGCATCACGTGCTGAGAAACCTGTACACAAGAGAGAAAACAGAGGTGAAGTGTTGTTTGTTGGAGAACTGCGTGTGTTACCTAAAGTGCTGATGAGCTGGTTCAGTTCTTCCATCACTAGCACGAAATGATGAACGTTCATCACCTATAATGACAGTTGGTATTCAAAACTTACTATTGAACTGAATTGCACGACAGCAAAATATCCATAAGGGGCGCTGAGCCTATAATTTATTCTGAATGAAGCCAAAATTAAAATTAATAAAATGCCTCACAGGACCAGGCTTTACATATCTGAAGTGTCAGCAGCGATAACAGAACAGGCCCCAACCCTGCCTGTGTCATGAGACTGTATCTGTTTGCAGTGGATTTGAATACATCCACACTGGGAAGCTGTTAAATATAAAACAGTTTGAAAGAAAGAAACCATGCTTTTAGAATAATAAAAACTGTTTTTTCTTCATAAATGAACAGGGGAAAAAAAATCATCTGCATCTGTAATGCATTGTCAATCTCGTTCTATCCCTTAGAACCCTCCCTTTGAATTTTCACTAAAGCCTGCCCAGCTCTGGAATAGGGATCAGCAGATCGAATTGCCTTCTGGCTAACCATGAGCCATTAGTCAAGTTTAACAAAAATTAGCCATCTACAAATCCCACTGTGCATAAGGAGTGCAAAACATATTTTTGTTTCTGATTAGCACGTGCTTGGTCTGTTTCTCACAGACACTATGTATCTGATTAAACTCTGCTAAGTGAAAAAAAAAATACAGTCTTAGAAAAAGAATATTAAAAATATTAGTAAATGGTGCATGCATTGAATGGACAACTGAAACAGACTATGTATGAAAAATGGAACAGCTATGGACTTTTTCAGCAAATCTGCACAGGGAAACAGGGATACAACAAGTACATGTTGAGCTTGGAAATATCAAGAACTGTATCTGATCTGGACTGGTGATGAAGACACTACTATCCACCAGCTCATTATCACGATAAAAGACCAGCAAAAAGAAACTGTAAAGATGTCACGTGATTTTTTCTTTTTGCTTAGATTTTAAGCTGGCTAAATAATAAAAATCTTACCATCATGGATTTTGGTGCCACTTCCACAGCAAAAACAGTAAGCCCCCTGTTACTAAGGCAGTTCTTACTCTGCTCATTGCTGACACGAATAATCACTTTGTTTTCAGACTGCAAGTGAAAAAACATGAAGGAACCCGTTAGTCTTAATGGTTAAGTGGCTGTTCTTCAAGTAACAACTACACATTCCTCTCATTTCCTGTGACTTTGATAATTTACAGGATAGAAATGCTTTAAGGGTGCTCATGTCGCCTCTTTTTGAAGAGTAACAGTTTCAAATGTACTTTAGCAACATCAGAGCCCAGATCCATTGTCAGAAGTCATTTAAGACTTGTTAAAATAACTTAAACACTTACAAAGACACAACTTGGGAACATTTAGTGAGAAAACTATTTGGCACAGAATGTTACAGATTCTAACAGTTTACGTAGTTTCAAAAGGTGACTAGATAAAGTAATGGTAGATTTTAAGTACAAAGAAAATATTTCTCTCAAGTAGTCCTTGAACTGCAAATCACTAGAGGTGAGGACAGTGGTCTGGAGAAGTGTCACTGGATGCATGTCCAATTTTTGTACTTGCAACATCCCCTGCAGGCCATTTCTGAAGACTTCATTAATAGAGATTTTAAAAAAATATTTGATGAAATTAATGGAAGTATAATCACTTCAAGGACAGACATTCTTGCTAAAGTTATGCAAGAAGGATCCAATATATAAAACTGAAAGCTTGGGTAACAGAAAATTCTTTAATCATCAGTTTATCCCAGGCAATGCTCAGACACAAGACCTAAGGACGTACTATTATACCCCACTATTCAGTTGTCTCTAGATAAATCTCAGTTTCAGAGAGACACTGGGAAACGTTTGATTCTTACACAATACTACCCAACAATCTCTCTGTATTGAGAACTGTAATAGAAACATGGTTACTTTACATAATCAGCCTTATACAGCAAAGACTGGTAAGGACTGACGTGAAAAAAAATTAAAACAATTTTAAAAAGCTATCTCTAGTGCTCACAGTACAAAGGCTTCGTGGACAGCAGAGTGTAAATATGGTAATTCTTGAAATATGGTATCGTTGCAGAAATGCAAACACAATCCAGTGCTAAGCTGCTTATTACTTTGATCTAGCTGCTCTGGCATCACTTGGGTGAAGTCCACATTTCTACAGGGCAGTGAGATAAAGGCAAAAAAAATTATCTGTACAGGAAGATACCTACAGCAACAGGAACAAGGTCACAGAGATCACCTAGCACAGAGGGTATATTATAGTGAGTTTGTAGTTTGGATGATAGGAAATGCCTCATTAACTACTTCTTTTGGCACATAAATGGGCACAAAATAGATTTGGTACTGCCTGCTCTCAGAGAAATTGAAGTTCTATACGAAAGGTCTTTCAGTCTCCCCAGCTCACAGGCTGACTAGGGAGGGTTAGAAGACAGACACCTTTCTCTATGCACTGATTAAATACATATGCAAGACTAAACCAGAATCCCTCAGGAATAGCTTATTTCCTTCATTCAATTACAGAAATAACAAAGAAACAATTATTTCCATTGAAATCATCAGTACAATAACTGAAGATCTAATCAGACAGCTTGAACTGCAAGAAGCTTAGAAGAGAGATGCATAAAATTGTCTTTTTATTATTTCTTTCCAGACATTTACATACAAAAAAAGTCTCCAGCCTACAAATTCTAATGAGATTTTCAGGGAAGTGCAACTATCTGCTTCAATGCAATACAGTGGTATTTCAGAAACCCAAATGGTAGAAAGGGCAGTGGTCAGGGATTTTAACCAGACAGCAGTACAGACCTCATCTCCTTCTCTGACATATCCCCAAACATATAAATAACTCCGGAGTATCTACCCTAAAGGGCGAAGTGCAGATCTCAACCTGTACCTCCAAGGAGCCTCGGCATTCAGTCCTAATATTAGTCCACCAACCCCCCCCCTTTTGCATGTTTGTCCATTTAAAAATATACTTCTTGCTGTGATCTTTGAAGATTTAAATCATCTTAAATTAAGCATCTTATTTTAAGGGGCTGTTCTTTATGTAACAACTACACATTCCACACAACTGCACTGTATCTATTTACTCAGGGTTCCAGATATAAATGAAACTGAGAATGAACAGCATGCTCATTAGCATCTATGCAAAAAGGTTTAAAATCTCTGCTTCTCATCAGCCACTTTTGCTGGGATTTACAATTCTTAGCTTGGATTAGTAATGAAGTAGACCTGTAAGACTAGCCAGTTAACAACTCATCCTCAGTGTACTTATAAAACACAATCAATGCAAATCACAGCTCTTTATACACACTGAAAATATGAAATAGTGTAAATGCTGCAGTCTTTGCTCTTTCTGTAATTTATTTCCTGTTCTTAGTATTTGTTTTCTAGTATTATAAACGTATCATGTCTCCAATAATTATGAAAATATTGAAAAATTGGAATGTGAACACAAATACTCAGATTCTATATGCTATTTAAAACTGCTTGCCTCATTATAGTAAGCTGCCCCTTCCAAGAACACTGATCCAGACTCTTTCGAAGTCTGAGTCGTATCTCAAGAAGAGCTTTGCATCAGGCACTTTTTTTTTTTTTAATTAAGTAGACACAGAAACTTGATATCAGAAATACCAGAAAATATAATTGTCAAAAAGGATGCAAGGATGGAAGAAGAACGATAATAATAGATATCAACACAAAATACCTTTCAGATCTCACGCCATACCTTATTTTCAATAACAGAAGTGATTCTCCTGCCCGATTTGTAGGTATGGACGATTATGTTTTCACAGCCATCCATTGCTTTGGCCTCTCCTTTGTTAACAACAGACTTGCAAACAGCCCTGTTGAGTTGCCAGCTCCCTGCCTCTAGATATATGGCTTTAATTCTGGGCTTGCATTTCTCTGCATAGATGTCAATGACAAAGGGGCATGCCTGCAACAGAGGAAACGAGTTTCAGCATCACTTTATCTGTTGTTTTCCCCCTCGGATTTTCATCCACAGCTCCTAAGTATTTTCATATATGCTCTGTAGTAAAATTATCCAAACACAAGTATGCCACTGAATAGTAAATATTCAAAACCTGAGAGCTGTGGCAACCTTTTAAACCAAATGAAAGCTCAGGACAAATGCATGTTTTTCATACCAGTCACAGTACACTCGATATGCAGTTTTGCATATTCAGCTCCAACATAGCAAACCTTTCCTTGGATAGCATACAGGAATTAAGATGAAGCGTGAATGCATTCCGGTGTCTGAAATAAGCCTGTCTCCTTTACCTGTCACACTCGTGCTATTTGTGGCACTTCATACAGATTTAAAATTTCTGCAATGTTGCATTAAGCACTCTGCTCTTACAGTATCTGGGCTAAGATTAGCATGTTTAACAACCAGGAGTTTGCATTTTCTTAGACTCACTAATAGCACCTCGGTTTCTTTCAAATGGCTACTGGAATCCACTAGGATTTCTCAGTTCTGTCTTTAATTTGTTAAAGGCTCAATGCTCCTGAAATATCAATCTCTTAAATCATCTGAAATCAAGGAATGAAGAGTTACAGATGCAAGTTAAGTACATATACATTTTTAGATGAAGGACTAAAGCATTCAGGGAAGCTACGTTGTCCTTCGAAAAGCAAAGACTATAGTCATAAACCACAGCTAGTAACAGGCACAAAATACTCATAAAGAAATTCCTAACTCGATAAAAACCTCCTCCAAATCTTCTTTCTTAGAGGACAGCTCCCTCTTACGTCTGAAGTGCAGACAGACAGGTTTGTGGTTGCTCTCTGCTAACCAGGCAGGAAAAGGAGAAAGTGCTGCTCGTTAAGAAATCATTCACCATGATCTCAACATTTTCCACTGAGAGACAACTGGTGTCTATCAACCATACTGAGGATTTTTGGGTCTGTTTGTTTCACAGATATGTATTTTTATATGGTGACTACACTGACCTGTTTTAGTTTAACAAAAGTTAAAGAAATATAATTGCACTACGATTAAAAAAAACAAAGCAGCTTTCCTTGGGAATGAAAGTTAAGTGATGAAATGATCTGCATATTTAATGGGGTTTTTAACTTCTCATTTCTTTTCTGCTAATTAAAGATACTCTCCTTTAGTGAGAACTGTTAACATCAATACTGATACTGTTTGTGGAAAAAAAAAGAAAAATTAAAAAATAATAATCTATAAGCACACAAATATCAGAGAAATGATCCCCGGTCCTGTAAAATAAACCATGTGCCACCAGAATTTTTTGTTGAACACCTTCAGACATTGTTGTGAAAGGCAACAGTAACAGAAACAGCCATGTCTGAAAATTAGAATTCTGAACCACGTGGGAAAAAAAGTTTTCTCCTCCTATCCAGCTCTGTTGCTGGATTTTCTAAGTTTGCTGACAGGTCACCGTTTACCATCACTGTCTTCTTATCGCTTCCCACCAGCATGAATTCTTTCAAGGGGTATAACCCAAGATTCCTTCCTCTACAAGCCCCCAAAATACTGGCTTTCTCTAAAGCAAAAGGCAAATTTCCTCCTTCAACAAGGTCAGTGTTATCCTAAGGAACAGGATACCATAACGAAAGTCCTAGTGTAAACCTTGTGTTAACAGTGTTTGAACTGGATCACTGACCTGCTGAAATCAACTCATGACACACAGAAACAGTACTGCAGTTAAACACGTGCAGCAAGCTGTGTGTGGAGCAGTTATTTTTGCTGTGTGGCTATCATACCTCTGTCATTTCTAATGCTTTATTGTAGCCCAGAGACAATAAAGTGACCCAAAGGTCACTAGGATCCCCTTCACGGTCATTGGCTTCCATGAGATTCAAATCCATAAATCCTTGTCTTGTTAGTTCATTCTTCTTCATATCAAAATTCTCTGTTTAAAAAGAAATATAAGGTAGCACTGAAATGTCTGTTCTCTCTGCAAACAGCCTTTATCCTTCCAAAGCCAAACTCCCACTTATGTTAACGAGGTTTAAAAGATGGAGCCATCTCGCAGCCTCAGGCTCTCCAGTATTATTTGGGAAAGAATGTTGCTGACCAGATATGTGCTCTTTGCAGAGCTTCCCTGTGGATTTTAGATACTGACTAGAAACAGCTGGCCCACTGTGTAACCCAAAAGAGGGTGAGATTTCAAAACGGAAAGAGTTCATACTGTTTTTTTTTCTTTTTGCTAGCAGTATTTGTTGTGGTTGAGATTTGCAGAATGGAGTACATTAAAAATGGGAAATTAAAGTCTGCTGGGGCCAGCACCCTTAGTGCTTGAGGTCCTTGATATAGAAATGATTTACTTAGTTCCTACAAAGCAATAAAACGCCACTAATCCTAACACCCCTCTCTTGATAGAATATCATAGATCGACCACTCTAATGTCAGCAAACATAATTGAAATGTCCTTGTGTCAGAGATTTTTAAAAATGGTTTTCTCATCTTCATAACAATGCTAAATCTTTTCTATATATTATTAAAAAGGGATTACAAATTTAATAAATCTATCTAAGGGTACAGATGCTATAATAAATGGCCTGAACTTTGGTGTCAAGATTTATGACATTCGTCTGAACCCTTCAGCTGATTAATGACCTGGTAAAACATTCACCATATTCTCTCCTTTGCTCTCTTACACTCTTCACACACACATACACCCCTCCTACTCATGTTGACACCAGTGCACAGAGGCATAACACTGACAAAGCCATAAAGTGTGGAAAAGCACGTACAGGGATGAAACAGATGAGAAACTCATTTATAGAAAAGTATGTTTGTATGAGCATTCCATCATTTAGGAAAAAGTCCAATACCTTAGAGTGTTTTGGGGAGAAATAGTGAAAAGGGCTTGCCAGATATAAAGTATTTTGGCCCAAACTAAGCAATGTGTCATAGCTTACCTAAGAATTACATCAAACGTGACATGGGCTGTTACATAATGATCTGCCATTTCAGACATACGTTGCAGAAAAACTACATTTCTTATAGAAGCTTCTAATTTTAATACAATGGCTTCCAAATCTCCAGTTAGCCCACTCACTTCAGTAAAGTGCCCATGCTTTTAAACCACTGCTTTCACGTGCTGTATTATTAGAGCAGCCTGCAGGCCCTGGTGGTTGTATTCTCCCAGCCCTGTCATGAAGTAAAGATGTGCATTCTCAAGCTTAAAGCGATGCCATTTTTTTCTCCAAAATTGATGTTTGTGGCCCTACACTGCTCCTGCAAGCTGGCAAGACGTCCAGTAACATCGATGAGATGTATCAGCAGACAGCAGCTGGAAGAGTCTTAACTGTCTGTCAGCTTCCTTGTCTCACTCATAGAAGTCTCAGAATCTCACGGCCATCATGTAGCACAATACGGGCAAACTGACACACCATATGTGAACCTTCAAAAGACAGATTTTTAAAGAAAAATTTCTTACTTCTGGAGAAAATATATAGTTTCAGTAGGTATTTTCTAATATCTAACTTTCTAAACAATCATCATAAGCTCTAGATGCCATTTTTAAAGCATTGTATACACACTAATTAAATGTCCCTATCAGTATTCTGTGAGATAAGCAGCATCAGCTTAATCTGCAGAAAGAAGATTGATAAAACGAATACCTGTTAGAGCTTAATTCACCATATGATCCATGATTAGAAAACCTGTAGTTTTTGGCACCTGTAAAATCTTTCACCTGCAAAACTTTGCAATTAACAATGGGAAGAATTTTCTCTGCAGAAGGCCGATGACACACAAACCAGAACAAAGCGAAACAAAGGCCAGAAAACTGGGAAAGGAAAAAAAAAAAGAAAAACAAAGGGAGAAGACAACAGTATCTACATGTGTTTTGGTACAGGCTACAAAATGCTCATTTCTTCTATACTACATACATAGTAGGATGCTATAAACAACAGCTTGCAAGTAGATTGGTAGCTCTAATTAGTTGTATCAAGCACAGCAACAAACTTACCCTTACACACAGCCCACGCTTCCTCATCGCATTTCTCACCACTGGTTCTCAGTTCAAAGAAATTGTATTCCTCCAAACTCAGAAGGCCATTTCCATCCAAATCAATTGTTTCAAATATGTCCAATAAAGTGGCTCTAAAAGATGAAAAAGGCAGAACTATTTCCAAATACTTCTCTTTTCTTTACTGTCTCGTAATATTGTTGAAAACCATTCAGTCTATTTGAGAACGTTCTGTACAAACAGTATTTTAGTAACATGCAGCTTTTAAAAAGCTGGATGTTATCTGGAACACGTAATTTTCACAATAGTTACCATGTCTATTTGGGAACACGACTCACCGGAACTCCTTGGTCAGAGCCAGCTCTCCATCTTCACCTCTATACACCAGCTTTGCTTCTCCAGCAATTTGTGGTTTTACCTTCTTCAACCTACAGCCTGTTGTGAACGGGAGCAGCCAGTAAACCCCTGATCCAAGCTCCCCTTTCCATCCAAACAGCTACTCTTAAAGGAAGACAGACAAGTTTGTAAGTTACGTCTCACGTGACACCTTTCTTTGTTACTAGCAATGTTCATACAAAAGTGATTAATTATTTGAAAACACTGGTAGTGTTAGGTTCTTTCTTTAAAGGAAACATGTCTACAGCGAGATGCTGCGTGATGCCATTTTAAAGACACTAAAACTAGTGAATCTCTTCGCTATAATAAAAGTTAGAAAAACATACAGGACCAGAGATGACAGAGAGCAGTCATTAACAGAAATATCTAATAACAGTCCTATCATTTTTCAGATTTGTTAGAGTGTTCTCTAATGGTGAAACTTTGAAACAAAAGCATTCAAAGGCAGGCTGACAAAAGCCACCAAGTTTTTAATTTCCTCCCTGACTAATCATCTTTGTTCAAACTAGCAACAAAGACTTCCCATGTAAAAAGTCACACGTGACTTAGGGTTGAAGAAGCAAGCTGAGTTCCCTGCAGCTTGGAAGGAGGAAGTAACTTCATGCTGCCTTTTCTCCTCCCTTACTTCTGCCATAGGATAAGAATATTCTGGGCACTATTAAGTTCAAAATCATATCTATGGCAAGAAGAAAGAAAAATTAAAGGAAATTTTAACAAATTTTACCTTTGAATTTTTGTTTTTGAAGATGCAGGAATACAAGTGAGTTTCTGCAGAATATTTTATACAGATAATCAGAAACTGAGCAACACTTGCCAACACATCGCATGGTAACATGGTCCTCACAGGAATTTCATTATACTTCCATACATGTGCCTTGCAATTCAGCCCATCCAAAGGGCGTAACTAAGACAGTATTACATCTTTATTTTGCATAAGTTCTGTCAGTTTTGAAAGGGAACACGCACAAAACAAGTGTTTTTTCGCTCCTCTAGTCTGATTAGGTACAGTTTGAATTCCTTCCAACCACATGGGAACTCGCTCATGCAGCATTAACACATACACTAGAGATATAACAATTAAAACAGGAATACAACAAAAATATCTAACCTCTTTGTTTTGTTGTTCAGTAAAGCTTACAAGCTGTAGATTTTCTTGGGTTTCGTTTTCCTTCAGAATATACAAAGCAGTATCCACTGATAACCAATGACAAGATTTTCCTGAAAAGAAAAACATTCCCAACACACACGCTTAATAATGGCACAAAAGTGTTTTCCTCTGAACCCCAAAGTAGATATTTCTATAGTATTTATAATATTGAACCCTGTGGAAGGGGATCAATAAGTAAGGTGGAAAAAAGAATCCATTATATGCTATTGGGATTTCCTTCCTATTGAAGCCAATCAGGTAAATCGTTCCAAGTCTTGTGATTCTCTTACAGATAATGATTACTATTAATAGTTCTAATATTAAAACTTTTGGTAATTAAGGAGGCTATTTCCATTGTTTTCTACCATTAGTACAACATTATTATTTCTGACTTTTCTTTATAGTAAGGCTCCTAGATATTTGCAATTAAGGATGTTAGCAAAATTATATCGTATTCACTTCTGAAGTTCTGTAAAAGACTGTTAAACTCACTTTGTCTGGAAACCCAGATTATGTGCAAAAGCTAGGAACACCAGAAGATGTAAATCTCAGAAGTGTAAGTTTCAATTCTTTTTAAGATTCAAATAGCACGATCCCTCTACATGGCACCACTAGTTGTTCTTCGTTCTTACGTATGTTGAATGGATGCCATTTGAACCCTTTTGATTTCTTGTAGCTGCTCCGTTCCTGAGGGCAATCAATCAATAAGCTATTTAGTGGTCTTCAAGTTAATCAGACCACAGCAAAAAAAAAAAAAAAAAAAGAATGCAGGGGCTTAGTTTTTCTACAGTTGGGAGTTAATGATACTAAAGAGTGGCTACACACCACACAACTTTGTTAAAAATTTGAAGATATTTTTGAGTTCACATAAAAAGGTAATTGCTCTGCTAACAGATGAATCCTTTCCTTACATACCAGTATTACAGCTTCCTCTTCACAACAAAACACGAAGATATTTCTATATACAGGACAATAATGTGCAAAAGTAGAAATTTTTACAAAAGATAAGTAAGTACTCTTGGTTACACAGAATGTCTGGGCAATCCTGCAGCAGAACTATTCTAAGGCACGGTTTAGGAGGGTACCACATGAAAAATGTTATGAGCAGAACACTGAGACATTCTGTTACTCAGGTCTGTTAGTGTCAGACCACGTTTCCTCACCTTCGTCAAGTCTGTTGATCAGCTTCCCATTTCAGCCAGGTAACTGGGAAACGACTACGTTCTGTCAATTATGTGCAGTGAAGTTTTTATTATCAACCTCAATCAGAATCCATTACCAAGCTGCAGCACAACAGCCAGCCCAGATGACTCTAAAACATTTTTGTTATCTAACGACTCCTGTTTCACAGCATTGAAGAGGAAATAATATACTTAGGGAAAAAATAATTCCAATGTAGGAACTAAAGCTCCTTGGTAAATCACTGGAGAGAATAAAGCCAATAGCATTTGGAAAAAAGGAGCACGAAAGCTGACTAATCTCAGGTGGCTCTACTGCTGGGCTTCACTCTTTTACGATGAAAATTAAAATAGGCAAACTAAGCTACAAATCCCTCAGACGAGATTCATAATCAAAACGTCAAGACACCATCCTGCCATAAAAAGCCATAACCTATTTTAAGTATTTACAAAAGTATTTGAGGTGGAGAATAAGAATAATTCACTGAGTTTTGTATTGTTGCTTCCCACAAAGTACGTTAACACCTTAAAAAGAGACACTGCCACCAGGGCTTGACATTAGAATTTTGTCATAAGAGACTTCACAAATCTATGGCCAAAAATAATCCAAGAGGTTGGCTGACTAAAGGGAGAAAGACAATGGATTTAGCTGATTTTCACTGCCCAGGCAGTGAGCACAAAACGACTAAGCAGAAAATAGGGAGTGACAAGTTACATTTTTAACAGGGCTCTGGCAACAGAGAAAACTACTGCTACATCATAATATCGCCAAGTATCGCGAGTGATAAAGGGAGAGATGTATCAGCAGAAGCAAAAATATTTTTTATCGAGGAAAATTCTCTAAAGAAATAGAAATCCACTTACCCTCTACCTGACGAACGTTTAAAGGCTTGATAGTAACACATACTGTAGACTTTTGAGGTAAGTGCAACTTGTACTTATGACTAATGATTTCGCCATCATCTTCTAAGTAGAAGCATCCTTTGGATTGTGCACATTGCCATTCCTGGAAAACAAGCACAAATATTAGACCTTGCCTTGAGCTTTGAACAAGACAGAAGCACATTCTCTGAAATACGTTAACTTGATGATTTAATAAATCCTGCATAAAATACACCATGGGACACAGCACTGATCTTCTGCTCCTTTTTTCCAATTAATTTTCTCTCATAGTCCTTTTTGAGGTCAATTTTTGCAGAGCAGTTAGTAACACTGCTTCAGTTGTGAAAATGCTTGAAAAACATACAGATTACCCCAACGCTCAAACAGTTGAAATGAAATTTGAATTGCCATGAAGAATCAAGCTGAACTCACGAAATTCTGAGCTGTGTGATTTACTACTGAAAGGCTGGAGTTTTGCTACATTAGTTCCATCAGGCCAATCAAGCAAAGAACATAATTGATCAGCTGAACAATGAGAAGTTATTTGCTCAGGCAAATCACAAACACAAATACTGGTCAAATTAAGTGGTTCTTCTTGACTTCTGTCAAAGCTATTGGAAAGCCATAAACTGAAAAATGTGAATAATACGGTTCCTAGAGAAGCTCTGATTTTGCCAAGATGCTAAAGCAGCTACACGCTTCAAATTTTCTATTTTTTTTTTTAAACAGCAGGTCCCAATTTTCAATTTCAAATATCATTTGAATGATATTTCTTTAGCAAAATAAAAATAAGCTCCTTATAGACTTATTGTATGCCTTGAGGAGTGGAAGACCTTCTTGACTGGCCTTCCCCTGTCTGGATTAAGTCTGTTATTTCTAGTCACTGTCTTAGCAACGGAAGATAAAGTTTCTGAGCAGAGCATAGCAGAAGGAATCATTCAGTGTGATCTCAGCAGAGAGCTCTGTCCGGGTAGCTGGGCACATGCTCGGTGTTCAGCGTAACAGGTAAGCTAACACAGATTTGAAAAGAGAGCTTGTAAAAAATGGAGCAGGTCTGCACGCAACTCCTAGTAAGGAGGATGACTACTAACTCCACCTAAGGTCAAACAGTCTTTGTCAGAAGTCTTCATCTTCATTTCTCCTCTTCAAGATTATCAGTTCTCATTACAACACGTTCCCGCTCAGTTGATGGTACTTTGCAGTTTATGACCCAAAGGTGTCAGGCAAGAACTGGACTTTGCTAGTACACCTACACCCAGGGTGTCAAGTCACACACTTGGTAATACCTGTAGTTCTGATCCCAAATCTAGATTTCTCCATTCACACCTCTATGTTTCTTAAGAATATGAATTACTCAGGGACTCATGGATTTAAGAGCCTTCAGTCCCGAGCCACAGTTTTGCCACTGATTTCTCTAGGAACAGGATCAACTCCTCTATACTAAGCATTTCTCACTCAAACATTACCAAATTCATCTTCATTATACTCCTTTCTGCTTTGAGAACTTTTTATAAATTAATCAAAACAAAGAGAGATGTACTTTAAGCAAACTCACCACCTGTGTTGGAACAGGAAGACTTCACCTCTCACTTCATTTTCTGCCTCTGAGGCACTCTTATTTTATCAGTTTCACCCAAATAGCACAAACTCAGCTATGAAAAGAATCTTCACGCTAAAGGAATAATTATATATCATCCTCAAAACATGAATTTGGATAAATACTGAAAATTCCAGATTTCACGTAGCTGAAAACTCTTTTAATCTCAAATTACTTATTATTATGGTAAGACTACCCTGTCCCATCCCATCCAAGATGTTGATCTAAAGGCAACAATTACTTCATCCTCAGTACCCCAATAGTTCTGGTAGCATAGTGCATCGTACCAATTCTAGATCTCAAATTCTGCTAATTATATTTGCATACAGTGGACAATATGGAGTACTTTTAAGTACAGATACTATATTCTTGGCAACTCATTCACTTTCTGCTGTTCTTCGGAGGTTTGGCATCTTTAAAGAAAACTAAGACTTTGCTAAGGAAGTTCTAAGAGACTTTAAAAGTGAACCTATCTTCTCAGAGCACAGGCTATCAAAAAGAAAAAGATAATTAAGTTATCTAAAAGGAAATGGGACATCCAGTCCCTGATGGAAACTAATATTCAAGTCCCTCCTCTCCCATAATCTCCCATGATCTTTTTCAGTTAAGATAACGTGTTGGATCCAGGACCATCATGCAAACCCATCTTCAGTGCCATTAGAGATGGACAGGAAAGCATGCTGTTAGAGGAACAATGATCTCATCTCATCTCACCAGCTACATCTCCACTGTGAAATACAGGACAGCAAGAAGCAAAGTGAAGCACTCAACACCGTGTCATCCATACTGTCTGGCTGTTAGCTCACTCCATGGCTGGGCTGTTTCAGATGACTACAACTAGCGCTCTTCAAGAAAACGTGTACACAGTTCAAAGGATTTTTCACGTCAGGCACCACTTTCAAAAAGGAAAATGAATGTAACTGCACTCCATTTGGTTTGCTGCAACCTACACAGTCAACATCATCCCATCAGGTTTTACAGCCTTGCACATTCCATGCCACGACCTACCCCACAGCTCGTAACACATATTCTTGGTTTGGATGCAGAGATATAAGATTATGAACAGCACTGGAAACCAAAATTTCTTAAAGCCACAAGACAACCACATGAGTTCCAGGAAAAAAAGCAAGGCAAGTGCCATTTAAAGTGGACACAAGCTCCTTGAGAGGGTTCTAGGCCTAAGCATTGTGGAAGTGAAGCTACCTGTGCTACTCGGTCCACTGATAGAGATCAGTCCCTGGCCACCATTTCTGGAGTGGTATAGACCCAATTAACAAGGCCACGTAAAAATTTTATACCAATCTTTATCCGTGAAACTAGACTTCTAGTGACGGGATAAGCAAAAGGGGTCCAGTCACGAAGAATAATTAGCAAAGAAGAGAACAGAGATGGAAAGTTACTGGGACTTAATGGTGAGCGCTAAAGGTTGAGCAAAAGGCATGGTTCTCTCAGTCAACCAAGTGGACAATGGGAGTTGATATTAACATTAGAGTCAACATAAGTCAGTGCTAGAATTCAAACATGTCCTTCAGTCTGTGAAATCATCCTAGTACTATTCCATTCTCAGCAAACTGTGTATTCCAATACTTGTGTGACTCCTAACCTCATCTAAAGTCCACATGCAGCAAATCGAGATTTTTCCTTAAAACTTCACACAGTTGAGATAACTGGCTGTTAGCTCATTTAGCCTCTAAGCATAACACCTTACAAAACTGTAATAATGATATTTCAGAAAGATCCAAGTCAAAAGGTCTGCTAATGAAGCAACACAGCTGTTCTTTGAGACATAGAAGAGCAAAACAGAAGTTTAGACAGCAGTCCAAACGTGCTACAACTGTTCAAAAAGATACTGTGACAATTTTAATGTACAAAAATTACTCTAACAGCCACGTTCTATTCCCTCTTTTTCACTATTGCAGTGGTCTTCAAACCATCATCTCACAGACAGCACAAAGGAGAGTAGCTTTGCCCTGTTGGTTTACCTTCCATTTTTCTAGCTGTTATTTCAGACAAAAAGACTACCTTTTTTGCAGTTTTGCACTCAGATGGACATTGTTACAACAGAGAAACCAAACAATCCAAGTAAGCAGGGAAAATATCCCAAGGAACAATGTGCAGGTTAAGACGTGAGCAACAGTAAGCAGAAGTCTGACAATGCCTGAGGAATCAAATGCTAAACTGTTATTCTTGCAGAGGGCGTAAGGTGGTGCTACATTCTCTAAATTATCCACGTCAAATTACAAACAGGAACGTAAACTTGGGCAGCTAAAAGATTATTTTTCTGCTTTGATTTTAGCACGCCGCTTCAACGCATAACAAAAGTTATCAAGCAATAGCTAAGACAGTAGGAAATGTCTGTATTAAAAAACATTCATCACAGAAATCAAGAAATCAAGAGACTACTTGCTGCCAGTGCTAGTCACTGCCCAAACAATGTATTCTACTGCTATTACAATTTAAGTTATTATTTAACAGTCCACACACTCATGCATAATTTGACATAACAATCAATGTTTGTGAGAGGAATTGCTCCTATGATTACAGCAAAGAACTTCAGTTCAACGCTTTGTCTTGTACAAACCTGTCCCACAGACACAGAAAAAGTCTTGCTAATTCAACTGCATGAGGCTACTTCGCCGATACGAGAGTGTGTAACTGCTTCTTTCAGGAAAAAGACCTTTCTCAGATATTTCTTTTGCTACCCACTGTGTGCAGAGGTCTTTCACTGCCTTCTGTAGAGCAGAATGCAAAGGTGAGAATCCTCACCAGGGATAATTTAGCTACTCAGTGCAGAGAGATTTTAGAACATGACACACTGCTGTCCTTTTCTAGTTAATGTCTTTCAATCTTGACCAAAACCAACACAAAGAAGACTTTGCAGAAATTTAAGATCTCCATTAGCCATCTTTTAATTAATTGGCATGCAGCTACAGTGGAAGCCCAACAGGTCAGCATGTTGTTTATGCACATCTGTAACTGTCTGGTTTTTCCCCTCAAAGTTATTGATGTGGCTTTGAACATGTCGCAAAACTCCACCGACAAAAAGAAAACGCGTGGAAGAACATACTATTAATACACTCCATGTTTTCTAAGGGGCTTCAGACATTCACCACGCTTTGACTTCCACTCTTTTCTTCTGTCAGAAACGTGAAGTTGGCATTGGTCCAACTTCACGATGGCAATATTTTCTGGTTGTCCCAAAAAGACAGGTGAACTGCAGAAAAAAAACAGTCTGAACAGAAGATAAACAAGAAAAATTGTGGAGTGCTAGATTCTGATCCGCAGCCCAGATGAATCACTGTGTATTTATTCATTGATTTTGACAGAGTTTGCATTGTGCCCTTAATAGGGTTAAAAAAAAAATAAGTAGTTCTACTTCTATCTTTTCATATTCATTGATTGATTTCCATTTTTGTATGACGCTAATCAATAGTAATCGATATTTGCAGCTGCTTTTTTTCAGTCAATTCTTACTAAAGAAAGAGGAATCCAGTGTTGGAAAACTGTGTGATGGTTTTATATACTACATATCATGTTGGAACAAGGTGAAATTGCAGGTTAAATTGCATAGAGGTCCAGATACCTAAACAGACTGCAAATAATTCCTCTGGGATTATGTTTTTAAATTTTAATATAGAACAAATGTCACTGTATGGCAATGTTGAAGATATAAAGGACTTCAGAGTTCAATAACAAATACAGAGTTGTTACTCGAAACAAAAATGTAACTCATGAGAACAATCAGTTCACTTTTCTAGCAGCAGTTATACTAGGTGGCCATAACCATTTTTTCCCTTTTATACAGGAGTCTCAAGGTGCACGTTTTTAATGTACCCTAGCAGTTTCCAGTTAATGTTTTATATTTCTACAGCTATTATTTTCTGTTGAAAGAAAACTAGTAAAGGTTCAGTCGAGAAAGGGAAAACAAAGGAAAAAGATCAATATTAACACTCTACAAATATTGACTTAGCAAAGTGACTTTGTTGTCTTTCTCCCACAGGAATTTATATTGAATGAGTGATTTATTTAAAAGAAAATACTGATAGAACATATTAGTCTAACTAAAAATCAATACTTTCAGGCTACGGCATATATTTACAAATTAATGCCCAACAACCTGAATATGCTCACAGATCTGTTATTTATTTCCAATTACCTTTCATATAAAGGTTTATGATACACAATCTTTCAGACTACTTAAGCATTTAAAGTTCTCACCAACCTGATAAATTATTAAATTTTAAATTTCTCAAAAAGTCATTAAACGTTTTACCCTACAGTGGCTTCATTTATAAAAAACACACTTTGTTCTATTAAACCTTCACACCTGAAAAATTATTTTCAATAACTAGATGTCAGCAAAACCAACAGTATATAAAAATGTTAATAACAATAATATGTATCAAGAAACCTCCGGGTAGTTTATAGCTGCCCTTGACAAACTATTAATAAAACATAAGCTAAAACTCAGAGAAAAACGGTTTCTTGTTTACAATGCCATAACGTATGTGCCTAGAGGAAAACAGCATCATTTCCAGAGGATTAGCTTACGTGATACCTTCATTGTGTCTGGCTCAATTAGCTTTGTGTTTCTGTTGCTACTGGCCCCCATGCTGATAGTGGTAGAAACAGATGCTTTGCAACTTGGAGCTGACGAGGGTCTTGAAGGAGTTCTGCTATCACCTAGAAACACAGATATTTGGTTACAGTTCCATTATTTCAACTCACTCCTAGTGCTTTATCATAAAGCCTTACATTTATAGGCAGACAGAGGAAAACTGGATGACAAGAACTTCAATTATAAGGCTGACTTGACTTATAATTACACAACATTTAATAACTCATTAGCCAAACATCATTCCCTGACCATACATCCCAGGTGGATGGGCATACAAATGGCAGAACCTCAGAACCAAATCTGCCTGAAGGACAAGAAATTGTTACCACATGATTCCATTTACCTTGGAATCTAGGTAAATCTGTCCTAAGTGGATAGGTTTAACCTGCTTCTAATTTAAAGTGATTTCTTTCCAGGACAATGTAATTTCCCTGCCAGAGAGCACACCACTTATGCACAGGTCTCCAGTGCAACTACTTCCAAGCCTTTCCCTTCTGGTTCCTTATGCTGGGGCAACTCTGCTGGTCCAACTGTCGATTTAGCTACAGAAACTCAGTCTTTGTTACTGTTCTGCCACGTTTGCACCTCTTCAGTACTGCCTAGAATCAAAGCAACTTAAAGTAAACAGCACACACTACACACAAATATTTCACACACGGTACCTTCCCAGCCTGTTAGCCTGTGGTCTTTTCCCAGTCTGGGAAAGTTTCTAAGTATCTTTGTAACTTCAGGAAGAACATTAAAAGCTCTCATATTGATTTCACTTGAAAAGCGGCCTCGATAATTGAAACAGACAGACTGCTTATTGATAAATGTTGTTTACAGTTTCATCTCTGATCTGGGAAGGAAATAAGTAACTTGCCTGTGCTGCAACACCTTAGCATTCATTTTCTCTCTTCCTTCTGGACTGTGTCACATGACAGTCAACAAAACTCACCCTTAAGAGTTTGAGAGCTTCAGATCATAGATGCAGCCAAAATCCATGTGAACATGGAGGCCAGACATTCTACTGAGATGTTTATGCAATTGACACCGTAGTGATGAACATCAGTCAACAACATCCTCTCTAATCCAAGAAAAAAACTAAACAAGTGCTCAACTGTTCATTGACTCCGAGCACGATCTCCAATGGAATGAAAGCTCCCAATATGAAATATAAATACCTTTTGTCGGAGTTAGTTTGTGATCAGTTTTCCTCGAGATTCTTGGTGATGGTTTTGACGCCGGCAGTGTGACCCCTTCAGAGGAAGCTTCAGCTTGACTTCCAAACTGCTGTTGCCTCAGTCGCCTGTCAACTTCCAGCTTCTCTCGTGCAGCCCTGCAGCACTGCTCGCTGGTTGTCACGTAGACGTCACAAAACTTTAGAGGAAGAAAAGTAATCTGTTAAATGAAATATTCTCCCTCACAATTTTAAGGATTAAAATGTTACATTAGTAAGCAAAAGGACAGGTCAATAGATGTAATGCATTTTCACTTAAAGTACAATATTAATTTTAATTTTCATGAATCAGAGCAACCACTCAGGTGACACAGCAAAATGCAGCCATGATTCAACAAGGAGGTCCAAATATTGAATAAAACTTAAGTGCAACTTTCAGCTCAAGAGGTGGTTTATATTTCTTTCTAGATATTTGAAGACTGATCATTTTTTTAACATAGGATCCTTAATATGGGGTTGGTTTTGTGCTATGAAGCTATCTTTATGTGCAAGTCTTTGTGGACTGTTTATTCAGTCGAAAACTTAGTCATGGCTTAGAGAGGATGTCAGAAAAAACTGACAAGATGTTGCATCTTGAAAATTCAACACATACAACAACGTCCCACACCCCAAAAATTATGAAACGTCACAGACATAGCAACTCTCACTGATTAGCTAAGTTTGCTGTCAATTGTCATCTTTATCCTGCCATTCTTTTAACTCTTATCTTCACCGTTAGGTTCTCAAGGAGAATAGCCAGATAAAGTGAGGGGAACAGAAGTATATACCAGCCCATGTTCCCATACACAGAAAGTTGTGGGGGGCTGGGGTAAGGTCAGCCATGGACTAATCAAGCCAGTAACACAAGAACAAATACCATCACTCTGTTTGCCACACCTTGTTGTAGTCAAGTTTGCCACTGCAGTTAAAATCAGCTTGGTTAATAATGGCACTCACTTCATCCTGAGTCATTTTTTCACCTCTCTGCAATTAAAAAAAAAAAATAAAAAAAAAATCAGTTTGGGTTCCTAATTAAAAATGCTGTTCACTCACAGCACACGTTTAATAAAAACACAAAGAAAGATTATTTTAATATCCTTTCAGGGAATCTTATCTTGCAATACATTTAAATGGATTTTGATTTGAATCATCAAATTAGAGGTCAACATTGTAAAAATACTACATCCCTACAATGCTACTAAACACTGAACAGATGATGCAATTTTGTGGTGTCTTCTGGAAACCTATCGCGAACGATACTTATTATCGATTTCAGAAAGTCTTCCAAAAACTGGGGAATCCCAGCTCTCAGTCATTCTTAAATACTGCAGCATGCTAACAACCAAAACCCAACTTCAGAATGGTTACTTTCACTTTTTTACTTGAGCTATCCTACTATACCCACAGCTGGCCAGCTTACACCTGCAATTTAGCTCGCTAGAAGGGTTATTCCAGGCACTAACTTGCCTTGCACCTGTCTTTACATGGAATCATGAGAGTGAAGCCAAAGCGTTTTCTCTCCTTTTGGAACCAAGCTGCATGTCAGAATACCACCTCCAGCGCCCCGCTTGCAATGTGGACACAAGGTCCATCTCTCAGGAAGGAAGCATGTCTTCCACAAGGTCCTCCAGCAGTTTCCTCTACACGGCTGTAAGTGATGACACAGCAATATGCGATTGCTGTGCAGAAATCCACATTATTTTTTAGCTATAGATGCATAGTGTAAACTTGGGACTGAAAACTAACACAAACTTCATTTTTGGTAAGCGTGATGTGGACATACGGTCCCAGAGCCACAGTGGATTGCAACAAAACAAATCCTGATCCTCGCCTCTTTGAACAGCACCAGTTGCTACCGCAGGCACATCTAGTAAGTCCTTCAGTCTGGGTCTATATGAAGCAATTCTCTGACTTTATGTAACAATACAGAGCATATAGCTCTTCATGGTATAACTACAGTAGCACTCAACGTCTGTTCCTTTCGTTAAAGAAAGAGTATTTCCTTACCATTACAACTATATCTTGTTGTTCATGTAGAACGACGATTGAAGGATCTGCTGCAATCTTTGAAGTAAACAAATGATTTTGATTCACTGGGTCAACCCCAACAAATACAGTATGTAAACTCTTTGTCCCTTCTGTCTCAGTCTGCTCTCCTCTAATTGTTTTATTCTCAGTTTTGAGCACTCTACTAGAATTCTCCTACTAGACCATTTTTAATTGTTATTGCTCCCTAGTGCTTATGCTGTGTAAGATGATTGATTTTTACAATGAAGGGTTTTTTTTGGCTGTACAGAGAAAAAAACCTGACAGAACAGAGAAAGAAAATCATTGCAATCATCCATGATGTACATCTATGTAGTTTAAAGTCAGAGCATCAGCTCGACACCAACTTGGAAGACTGTTCTGTTTCAGGCATTTTGTTTGCTTTCTTTGCAAATCCTCAGAGGACCTGAATTTTAATCTTGTCGACACCCGTCGTTCTAACATACTCTTGCTAATGTTTTTGTTAAAGTTCCATCTCCTACGATCTCATATTATCATAAAAATCTCAGCTGCTATTTGAAAAAAATTCTTTTCTATCCTCTCAGATTATACAATCACAGAATCATGAACGGTTTGGGTTGGAAGGGAC